GGTACCGACCTAATTACTCTTCCGCAAGAGTAAAAAATGCCTTTTGAATGCCTCTTTGGCAAATACGTCTCATTAAGGACAAAAACTAAACACAAACCCTCTAAGAAGGAGAAATTAAGATGATAGGTAACTTGTGGCCAGGAGACTTTCTGTGCCACTGTGGGAAATTAAAACAAAGTTTGGGAGTACCAGGGGATAACTTGTTTTTGTTGAGCTTTTTTCCTGCAGCCTAAATGTTATTATTATGGGACCAACTTTATTTTTTTTCATCCTTTTGGCTCTTTGTCAAAGAATGCTTTGCTCCTGGGGAAAGCAAAGAATCTTCCATCATTGAAGACAATGGCGATTCTCCCATTCCATCTCAGCATGGTGCATAACCGAGCAAACCAAGAAATTCTCCATTTGAAACTCTGGTCATAATAAGAATTTAATTTTCATGGTGCTCTAATGGGAAAACGAGATGTGAATAACAGTGTCCTTCTAAAAGATTTGTTTAGTTTAAAGCAAACTTTCGTTTTTAAAATTTCTAAAACTTTTTTCTTTTTATTGCTAAAGTATCCTCCATTAGCAGGTTTTAGCCAAGATGGATAAATTTTATGATTAGCGTATGATGCTTATAAAAGCAGGCTACTGGTAAACTCATATTTGGATTTAGAAATCATGGGCGTGTATTTTTCCCCCATGGTATTATTAATAGCATTGATTTTACCTGGTCATCCTCATGAACAAGGTATCTGTTTATGTCATTGGAATCTGCAGTAAGGTCACACTGATGCTCAAAAAATAAGAAGGATTGGCTACTTTGATTTGAGGCACTAACCATTTTATGCACTATCTGAGATAATTAAGAACAGATCAACAGCATTAGGTGTTGATTATGTAGTACTCTGCAGTACTACAGGATTCACATTTCTCAATTATCTGTCTCAGTGAGTTCATTCATTTCCCAAATATGATTATATTTATTGCAGATCAAGGTTATTGTTAAGTGTAAGATTCTTCACTGACCCTACCTAGGATTATAACAACTTTCATTCAATAATTCATTCAATAAAACTTAATATATAATATATATGTATATAATATATATCTCAGCTTAACAAAATGCTAATGCAAATACATAATACAGAACATTATGTATTTGGTAACTTTCTTAATTTTTGAGTGAAGATATTGTACTTTTTGTACTTGTTCTAAAATTTCTAAGGTAAACTAGTATGTCTGTATTTTGGAAAGAATTGTGTAGCTGAATTATATATTGTCACTAAGAAAAAGGTGCTTTAACTTTCTAAGAAAATTAACTACAGGTAACAAGAGAGTCACCTGTGACTGAAGCATCGGATTAGATTATTCAGTTGAATAATCAAGAATAATGCAAGGATCACCAGTTCTGCTTGGGTGAGAGCCAGGGGTGTCAGAAGCCCATTGAACAAAACCACATAATTGTTTGTTGGTCTTAAAAATGACTACGAAAAGCAGATGGATGTTTCACCTACAAAGAACCTACAGGTCTATAGTCCAGAGGTGATTCCTCTCCTGTGTATGGGCTGCTCACTTAACAAGAAGCACAACAACTAATGGATTCAGAGTGATTTGAATATATTCACATCTTTATGTTACAATATGTTGGCGAATATAGCACAAGCACATCATTAAAAGCAGCCTTCCTAGAATGTAACTGCTATTTTAAGTGGGAAAGAGCTAATGCAAAAGTGGTTGTATTGCTACCTACCACCTAAATCTACAAAGAAGTACAAAAAGGACCCACAGATTAAAAGGTTTATAATATCTTTAAAATTTATATCTTTTAATTTTAAGTATATTTTAATACCCCAGAGACAAGTGTGGTTTATATAAAATAATCCACCCAAAGGGGGCTTATTGGGTTTCTTCATCTAGTATCACTTGCAAATTAACTGAGAAAATTAATATAAATAAAATAACCTTTTTCCCTGATAGTGACTGAAAACAAATGTACTATTTAAGTCACACCAACAGCTTCCTTTCCTAAGAAAGAAGAATGTTATTCTAAGACTTCTTTTAGGAAACTAATAGTACTTATTTCAAAATTGCCCTGCTAAGATTTTTTCAGAAGGGAGAGAAAGGACTTTTAAAATTCTTTCGCTATAGTTAAAATGAGTTACGCATTAACATCAGACAGAAGTTTCTGAGAAAAGGCCCCTCAGTGCTTGTTTTGGATTGGTGAGTCTTTAACAATTCACTTCTAAGTGACTTCAGTTAACAACAGTGTTATATGTGGCTGTATTTATATGAGAGAATAAATTGATCAAGTTGGAAGTGTTTTATAATATTAAGGATAGTGTATAAAAATCAATCGCACTTCTGTAAGGTGTCCCTAATGTCATTGGCTTTGATTAAACCATTCTAGGAGAAGATACAGCTGTATTAATTCCAACTGAAGTAATTGGCTCTTTTATGTTGCCTGCTTTTTATTATCCACTTACAGATCCAAAGACCAGCAAACTTTCTTTCAGTCTGTGTTCAACTATTTGAAACCACGTGCAAAGGGAGAACATGGAACAATTTTCTTCTATACCTCTTCTGTCTGGGTATTTTATAATTCAGAGGAGCTTGTTAATAAAATGTATGATAGAAAAGTAAATGGCGTGTGACTTCCCAGATAGAAAGTGGGAAACAAACAAAACCCACACGAAAAGTGAGAAATTAAAAGCAGAATTCTGGAATAACTTTGTTTTTGTTCTTTGGTTTAATGGAAATGATGAAGTTCTAGTCATAAGAACCCAAAGTAAGCAGGAGCTGTAAAAATCTCAAGAAAAGAGGTCATACTGAGGAGAGCTCAAATCACTTCTAAGGATAACTTTTTATTTTTAAACATAGACTTGCCCAGGAAAGATGGCATTCTGATTTACAGGTTTGGGTGGCATCTAATAATGGCAGCCTACACCCACATAGTGATTTATCGTGTACAAAGAGCTATTTTCTTTGCGTTATCCACCTAGAACCATATAAGGAAGACAGGCATTATTATCACCATTTTACACATTGGAAAGTTGAAGTGCTGAAGAAGTTGAGTGGGACTAGCCCTTTTTATACACGATGGACTCCAGGTTTTCTAGCTCTGGCCAGGAATAGAGCCTGTTGGTATCATTATGCCTTGATTGAGATTAAATGACTTAGCATCGTGCTAGAAAATAAAAGTCTTTCCTGAGTATTTTAGAATTTAGAAGTGGGAATTCAGAATGAGTTACTATGTCTCAAGACTCTGATAATTTGTCTTAAAGTAGACCATTTAACTTTTAAAATGAAGTCAATTAATCATTCGTTATATAATGTGTGCTAAGCATTGACAGCGAAGTAAGGATAGCGAAGAATACCAGCCTCAACTTAATTATAAAGAGAGTTAACTGCAATGCCTCCAATGATAAAAATAATTACCTTCGGTGACTATACAGAATAAAAAAGACTTTTATTCTCTTTAGGGCCATTCTTTACATTACCTGCCATGATGTCTCTTTACTCAAATCAATATATGTTTACCACATCCTCTGAAGGAACTACCACATTTTATTAGAGCCAATTGTTTTTATACAGAGTGAATTTGAAGTGACAATGTGTTTCATGTGGTATTCTCTCCCTCTTTCTTTTATTCACCCAAGGTGAAGCTGGGTGAAGATGCCCCCAATTCCAGTGTGGTACGTGTCTCCAGTCCTGAAGGAGGGGACAACAGTGAAAATGGTACCCAGAAGATAACTGATGGAACCAAGTGCCACCTTCTTGACTTTGCCAACCCTGAGCGCCCGCTGGTGGTCAACTTTGGCTCAGCCACTTGACCTCCTTTTACTAACCAGCTGCCAGCTTTCAGCAAACTGGTAGAAGAGTTCTCATCAGTGGCTGACTTCCTGTTGGTCTACATTGATGAGGCCCATCCTTCAGATGGTTGGGCAGTGCCTGGGGATTCTTCTTTGTCTTTTGAGGTGAAGAAGCACCGGAACCAGGAAGACCGATGTGCAGCAGCCCACCAGCTTCTGGAGCGTTTCTCCTTGCCGCCCCAGTGCCGTGTTGTGGCTGACCGCATGGACAATAATGCCAACGTAGCTTATGGAGTAGCCTTTGAACGTGTGTGTATTGTGCAGAGACAGAAAATTGCTTATCTGGGAGGAAAGGGCCCCTTCTTCTACAACCTTCAAGAAGTCCGGCGGTGGCTGGAGAAGAACTTCAACAAGAGATGAAATCTAGATTAGCTGTTTAAAGGTATGATTGTAATAGAGCTTTTTAAAAAAAATTATATATATATAAATATATAAAGGGAAAGGAACTAAGAACTGAATCCACTATTTCAACTGAGTCTCATTGCTTCACTGAAAGACAGCGATTTACATGTCAGAAGAACGTAAACCTCTAACATCTCAATACTTCTTTACCACTCGAATGGCATTTGGCTAAATAGTAGCCCCATCACTTCTATTTCTTTAAAAAAAAAAAAAAGTCCTGACTGTAAAGATCCCAAGGTGGAGAGGAAGAAACTGTTGATACAGCCGATGTGTGCTTTGGGACCCGAAGAAAAGACTTGCCGGAATAACTACTATGTCAGAGAAACTACTGTCTTTGTTTGTATAAGGGATATCGCCTATGCTTTATTCCATATGGATAAAGCCCAACTAGAAAATTCCCAAATATTTACTTATAATGTGGCCTTAAACCCAGGCCATATGATTAGGACCTTGGTATTTAACATGTTAGAAAAGTTTCTGATGTTCTAGTTTCTAGTCATGTAGTGCTCTATGCCAGTCTAAATAAACCAGAACTCACAGGTGTATTTGTAGATGTCAAGAATGATTCCCAGCTGTAAGGTTAGAATGACCATCTGAAATTTGAGGGTTACTTTCTAGGCAGGTGAAGAAAGCGCTAGAAGAAAATCGAGTTGACAAACTAGGAAAAAGAGGTAGAAAAATTAGAGGGCTTCATAGTGTTTCACCTTGAAGCTTTAGAGAGTAGGACTAATTTGTTTCCATAGAAATATGGAAACAAACACAAGGCCAGAAAAAGAGCTCAATTAAGAGTAGCATAGAGAATATACAATATACTTATCATATACTCCTAGATTGAGAGAGAAAGGAGATCAAAGGGGAAAAAAGAACACTCTTCAATATTTGTATTTATGAGGTTTTTTTGTGTGTGGAATGATTACCTTTTGAAACATGTTTGTGGTATGTATGTTTTCAGTGGGTGCATTATACACCATGATACCAATTAAAGGTAATATTGGTGGGACCAGCAGTGCTGGTCTGCTCCTCTCCATCCCTAAAATTATGATCAGGCCCTATTCATTCTTGGTCCTAGTCACTATAGGAGAGTTTTTTCAATGCTGAGCTCTTCAGCTCAAGATATATACATACATATGTATGTATACATGCGCGTGCACACACACACACATTTATTGTCAGATGCTGTGGCAGGTAGGCGCCCTAGCCATTCTGCTGCAGCACTGTTTTCCTCCCAAAGAAGGTAAAGTATAATGAATGATTGGTAGTATGAACAAACAAGGTTTCTTCACTTGTAAAATAAAGGAAAAGAAAGTTAATGTGAGACAATTTCCCATTAGGAATTTTGGAGGCCTTGATATAAGGCAATCCTCAGTAGTATGGAATTTAGTGAAATGGAATTCCCATTGACATTTGAATTTGGACTTGCGTCTTCCTTTGTTCCCATTAGCTGAGGTCTAGTAATCTAAAGCCTCTATAGTACATTAATATAATGTTATTTTAATATATATAGATGATATTTCTTTATAAAATGAAGATACTATAGTTTTACCTATAAGTAATATAAATTTACCTATAAGTAAAATATCTAAAATATCATAACTTCTGAAAGAATAGACCTACAAATTTTCTATCATAATTTTTTTATTGTAAATTTAAAGATGCTATCAAATCACAGTATATGGTTGTATTTATATGTACAATCAAAGGTTCTTATGACCATTCCACTAATAATTGAATCATAAAATAAAACTAATAGAAAAAGATACCTAAAATTGAAAATATCTTCCTGAACTAGTTAGTTGCCTGAAATGTAAAAAAGTGGGAACTGGGTGCACAAGAACCAAAAGCCTATTTAAAAACAACAACAACAAAAAAAAAAAACAGCAACAAAAAACCTGGAGCAACATAGTAGCCATATCACTAGTTCGTTTATTATTTAGATTTTAAACCACCATTTTAACCAATTTTTTTACACCAACATTTAAGTTTCTGTTTTAAATTCTACAAAACACACCCACAAAGAGACAAGGCAGTTTTTGAAAACGTGACGTTATCTAACGAATTTCTGGGAAACCACAATGAGAATAGTTTATTTTGGAGTCCTCAATTGTTGAACTCTATAACTCAAGGCTTATCAATGGGCCCCACTGATTTTTATCTACAAAATGGTGTTGAGATTTATGTGGTACATAAATGAATAACTAGTTGCAGCATACTCACTGTTGTTCTTAAAATTCCCCCTTGTACTACATGTATAATAATGGTACGGGATGTTAGAGAAGCTGGTTGGGGGATGAGATTTGGCTAAGGCAGTTAGTGCTAGCCATCTGGAGAAAATGATGATGAAAAATCAGCCAGTTGTGATATATTTTTAAAGAAAGAGAAAGTCGTGTGCATGCAATTCCTCTTCCTGAGGATAGCCCAATGGAGAAATGAAGCAGTGAAAGTAGACACACAAAGGCACAGGCTGAATATCAGGGAAAAAGATATGTTCAATAGAACATAGAAGAGTCACTGGAAGAAAGGCTATCGGGGGCCAATGGAGAAAGTGAATTGACAAAGCTCAGGAATCCTGCGATATACAGAGTGGCTTGGTGTTATCAGAATTATGATAAGGCTGTAATTATGTAACCTATTTATCTCAACATAAACTTTTATAATTTCCTGTGATGTATCTTTTATGAACTTAACAAGAACTCATTATTTGAGATAGAGGGGAATCGATGCTTAGTTGATATGCTCAGAGAAATTATTAGATTGCCAATACCCATCCCATCTAGCCTGTCTTTTATAAAGTATGTTCCTTTGAATAATTGTAGTTCTTATTCTCACAAGGTAAAAATTATACATATATATTTAAAATTTTATGTATAAAACTTTGAATTGCTCTTCTTAATACCTAAACATCTTTCCCCTCTGTGTTTACATGGAGCTATCAGTTTAGCCTTTTAAACTGAATTAGCTTGTCTATTAGTGAAATAGTTTCTGAGCAATTTTAGATATTATCATAATGTCTGGATTCTCTCAAACAGATAGTGTTTGAAAGACTTATGTCTTAGAATTAATCAAAACTTACTTTATTTTATTGCTTAGAGAAAATATTAGTGGTATCAACAATGACTCTCTTAAATGGGCATGAATGAAATACCTGCAGTAATGTAGGTGTTCGATACAGACATTAAAATATAACTGACCTCCTTAGGAGCAGATTAGTCACTCTGTTCTTGCTTTGTATAGCTAAAGTGACAGTTATTTAACCTCTATGACCGTTTATATTTATGTTTTAGATCTCTGGTCCTGTGTCTTCACCTTGTTTATAGAATATACCCCTGATTTTTGGTAATATCAACTTCTAAATGGCCTAATGATTTAAATTCTGCCATTAACCAGGCATGCCTATTCTATGATCAAGGAGAAAAGACTGCTGTCTTTCATGTTGCCTGAGTATATTTCACTATCTGAGCTCTTGAATAAAAATGATGAAGTATGGTGAGGTCATGCATGGGTACTGCCTTGCTGCATAAAATACCAGAGGGGTAGGTTAAAGACAATGTCTAGGCCTTTGAGGAAATTCCCAGCTGGATACAAGGTAACCTCAACATGCCCTATGAGCTATATCTATAGCAAGAAGATTGCACTGATGTATATCCCATTCTGTAAATCTTAAGAGGATAAACCTGGCCATTTATTCCACCTCACATCTGACTAATGGTTTGGCAAATAAGCTTCATTAGAATCACATGACCATTGCAAAGGAAAAAAATGTGGACACCGACTTCTGTCCCATTGAAAAATTAACGAAAACTATTACCAGCATTTAAAGCTTTTCGCAACATGCCCAGTGTCATATCTCTCAACAGTGGAGATTAGCAATGAGGCTTTTCATTCCAAAGCTTAAAAAAGAAGATATTGCCAAAAATCAGAGCTAGTGTTTTATTCCATCCTCATCCCTACTTCCTCCTTTATCTATTAAAAATAGAAGCTAAATCCAGCCTTTATATGTACATCTAGAATGGGGCATAAATACTAACCTCTGCTTGCTGATCAGCGTTCTCTTGGTAGTATCCCAAGGACCTCTATGAAATAAGTGGGCAGAGCCTGGGGGAGTCAGGAAGCTCTAACTGGGAAGAACTGGGCTCTGTGGGTTTGGTCTACTGATTTCGGAAGATTTGAACAGAAACTTCTCACTAGTGGAGGAGAGCTGAATGCCATCGAGTGACTTTAGGATGAGCCAAATATTGATCTACTTCCTAATGCCTTACCTTCTAGGCAGCACCAGCAGCAAGGTCTCAGAGCTTAGAGATCCAGCTCTGTTCCACAGTGAGTCTGAACCGATGGAAAGCAAACATGTACAGACATCCAAACAAGGCTACTCACGCAGGTTGGGGCTTGCTGCCTGTCTAGGCAACAGCAACAGAGCTCCAGGGAGTTTGTTTAATATTTACTGAGGAGATTTCGAAGACCCAGGAGATGTTTAATGAAGTCACTATTTTGGCTCAAAATTCCCTTTACCCCTCAAAAAGCAAACAGGTAAACACATAAATGAAAGAAGCCACAGAAAGGGGTGGGAAATAAATAAAATTCTCTCGAGACTTCTCTAGACCACGTCACTGGTCAGTGTGGTTTTTATGTGTTAGATTTGGAGGATGTGAAAACATAAGTATCCAATACTTTATAACCAAAGCAATTACAAGATATTGGGTAGGGAACGTTGGCCAGTTTTGTTTAGTTTTGCATCACATTTTCACCAGACTCCATCACTAGCCCAAGCAATTGGGCCCTCGAAGAGGAAGACTGGGATGTGCAGAGGTTACCAGTGTGCGAATGAAAACTGCTGACGAAAGAGTCATCGACTCAGTTAGTGGTTGGATGTAGTCACATTAGTTTACCTCTGCTCATTTTTGTCTTCCTAGCAAGGAGAATATTCGGGGCATGATGCTATGAGGCCTGGGTAAATGTGGTGAGAATGCATGTGTGTATATCTCTGCTTTTTGGTTGCAGAAACAAATGCTTTGGAGTGTGGTATGTGTGCTTTTACAATTTGTTCTTGTATTTTAGTGAACTTTGAATAAAAGAATAAAGTTACTCTTTGGTTCTATTTGTTTATTTTTGAATTACTCTCTAGACCTTGCCCTTGGCTAGAACACATTCATAGTTGACAAGGGAAAAAGAATCCATCATTCTAATATTTATTCCTTGGTATTTGTGGGCAAAGTCACCAGCAATGCCAGGTTATTTTAATCTCCTGCTGTGTGCCAGAGTCTT